TCTACGTATTCTCCATAACTTTTACAACGATTATTCCTGTAAAAAGAAGAAAAAAAAATGAACAAAATACTTTCTCCCGCAGTCTCTCCACCCTCTGCTGGCACCTTTCTCCGGTATCCTGCCGCTACCTACTGGAGCTGTCTTTGCTACTGTTGTTCTTATTATCATTATCTGCACCATCTCCATTTTTACAATGTTTAGCCCTGTATACAAACTCAACACTAAAAAAAATATTTGCTCCCGCAGTCTCTGCTCCCTCTGCTGGGACCCTGCTTCGGTATCCTATTCTCCCGCTACCTGCTGGAACTCGGCACGTCGTCTACCACCACAGCATGGATCTTCAATACCCAGTGCTTCACCTGGAACCTCTTCGGTCTCGTGGCACGCCCATTTACGCAGGAATTTGGGTGGAGAAAAGTGGCCTGCTTGGGCGGATTTCTGACCTCGATCTCGCTCGTGATTTCTGCCTTCGCGCCCTCGGCTGAGTTCCTGTTTTTCTCGTTTTCTTTGCTGAGCGGTGAGTTGGGTTGCCGTGGTTGGCTGCCGTTTTGTCTGTCGTTTTGCGCCTTCGCGTCCGTATCTGTCGGTGTGTGTGTCTGTCTGTCTGCCTGTCTCTCTCTGTCTTTCTCTCTCTCTCTCTCTCTCTCTCTCTCTCTCTCTCTCTCTCTCTCTCTCTCTCTCTCTCTCTCTCTCTCTCTCTCTCTAAAGTGTGAGTTTGATGATAGCACCTGTGCTAGCAAAGAGAATGGATTTATTGCATTTTACTTATGATCCTGATTATGAAAAATGATTAGACAATGAATTATCATCTCCCTGATGTAAAGTGCAGCTAATGGATATCATATTTGTAGCAAAAGAAAGAATCAGTTTTCTTGTTCTTTTTAAATTACAATTATTCAACCATGGATGGCTTATTTCTCCTTTTCGTGGCCGTTAACACCTCGTTCTGACCCCACCTTCGCCCCTCCAGGCGCCGGGGGCGGGGCGGCCGTGTGCATCTGCTTCACCATCGTGCCCCTGTACTTCGACCGCCGCCGCGGCCAGGCCAACGCGATCATGATGGCGGGCGTGTGCTTGGGCCAGATCATCGGGCCGCCCCTCGTCAACTTCCTGCAGACCGAGTACGGCTACAAGGGCGCCACCATCATCATGGGCGCGATCCTGCTCAACGGCTGCGTCGGCGCCTTGCTGTTCCACCCGATCGCGTGGCACCAGAAGAGGGTCGCGCGGCCGAGGATCGCCGGCCTGCAGGAGGGCACGGAGGAGCCCTTGGTGCCCAGGCGGAGGAGGATGTCCAGCGAAGCCCTGGACACCAACAGCCCGATGCTGGCCGCTAGGAGGGGCCTGGCCAGGGTCCGGAACCACTCCGTCGCGTCCCTTGGAGGCTCCTCCCTCGGCCTGTCCACCATCGACCTCCCCGGCCTCGCAGCCTTGGCCTCGGCCGCAGAGGGCGACGACGGCGGAGGCGACGACGGGGATGCCTCCTCGACCTCCTCGCGGGCTCCTGGGACGATCTGCAACATCCTCAAGATCCTGCAACGCGTGTGGCGCTCCACCGTGTCGGACCTGCAGGCGCTGCGCTCCCCGCGGGCGCTCATCATCGCCGTCGGAGGAACCCTGTGCATCAACGGCTACCTCAACTTCGTCATGATGGTGCCCTTCGCCATGCAGGCCGGCGGCTACACGCTGCAGGACGCGGCCTTCTGCATCTCCATCTCGGCGGTGTGCAACCTACTGCTGAGGATGATCGTGTCGACGCTCTCCGACTGGCCCCGCTTCAGCGTCCGCGCCTGCTACATGGCCGGCTTCGGGCTCATCTCCGTCACCATGTTCGGTGAGGAACGGGAGGGGACCAAGGGGGGAGGGGGGAGGGGGGGGCCCAAGGGGAGGGGACCAAGGGGGCGGGAGGGGACCAAGGGGGAGGGGGACCTAGGGGCGGAGGGAGACCCAGGGGGCGAGATGGGACCTGGGGGGGCGGAAGGGTCCAAGGGACGGGAAGGGTCCAAGGGGGCGGAAGGGGACCTGGGGGCGGGAGGGGACCTGGGGGGACCAGGGGGAGAGAGACCCAGGGGACCAGGGGGCGGGAGAGAGACCCAGGGGGCGGGGAGAGAGACCCAGGGGCGCCCAGGAGAGAGACCCAGGGGGCGGGAGAGAGACCCAGGGGCGGGAGAGAGACCCAGGGGCGGAGAGAGACCCAGGGGCGAGAGAGACCCAGGGGGGGGAGAGAGACCCAGGGCGGGAGAGAGACCCAGGGGCGCCGGGGGCGGAGAGAGACCCAGGGGGCGGGAGAGAGACCAGGGGGCGGGAGAGAGACCTAAGGGACGGGAGGGAGACCCAGGGGCGAGATGGGGACCTGGGGGGCGGAAGGGTCCAAGGGCGGGAAGGGGTCCAAGGGGGCGGAAGGGGGCCTGGGGGCGGAGGAGGACCTGGGGGCGGAAGGGGACCTAGGGGCGGAGAGAGACCTAGGGGGCTCTCAGTGCCATTTGACGTGTTCATAACTAGGTGTTGTTAAGCATTCGGTCTGAACACCAGTCAAAATTCAATTAAATGACATTATTCATAGAGACCAAGTCTATCACTGGTCAATGAAAGTAGCAGGGTGATAATCTTCCAGCATTTTGATACCTGTTGATATTTAATCTGATCTGTTGTCCTCAGGTGTAAATCTTGCGGTCTGGGAAACAGTCAGACACTCAGTCCCGGAAGAAGTTCAGCCTTACCATATAAAATATTCAGGACGACTCCTTTTATTGTAGTATATTATCGCGTTATGATATAAATATATAATATATTTAAACAATTTGATAACTTTGATTGTTTCTGTTGTAGTCAACCAGAAGCTGAAAAAGCACAGACACGCGCGCGTACCCTTCACTCACACCCAAAAAATCCACACACACATTTCACCCACACCACAATTTCCCACAAATCCACACATTTCACCCCACAGATCCACACACCCACAAATCCACAATTTCACCCACAAATCCACACACATTTCACCCACAAATCCACAATTTCACCCACAAATCCACAGCACAGATCCACACCACATTTTTTCACCCACAAATCCACAATTTCTTTCACCCACAAATCCACAATTTCACCCACAAATTTCCCACCCACATTTCACCCACAAATCCACACATTTCACCCACAAATCCACACCACAAATCGCATCCACAATTTCACCCACAAATCCACCCACACTTTCACCCACAAATCCACAATTTCACCCACAAATCCACAATTCACCACAAATCCACAATTTCACCCACAAATCACATTTCACCCACAAATCCACAATTCACCCACAAATCCACAATTTCACCACAAATCCACAATTTCATTTCATTTCACACAATTTCACCCACAAATCATCACCCACAAATCCACATTTCACCCACAAATCCACAATTTCACCCACAAATCCACAATTTCACCCACAAATCCACAATTTCACCCACAAATCCACAATTTCACCCACAAATCCACACACCACAATCCACAATTTCACCCACAAATCCACAATTTCACCCACAAATCCACACACATCACCCACAAATCCACAATTTCACCCACAAATCCACACATCCACACCACCCACAAATCCACAATTCACCCACAAATCCACACAATCACCCACAAATCCACAATTTCACCCACAAATCCACACACATCACCCACAAATCCACAATTTCACCCACAAATCCACAATTTCACCCACAAATCACACATCACCCACAAAATTTTCACCCACAAATCCACAATCACCCACAAATCCACAATTTCACCCACAAAATCCACACATCACCCACAAATCCACAATCACCCACAAATCACAACATCACCCACAAATCCACACACCCACAAATCCACAATTTCACCACAAATCCACAATCACATCCCACAATCACCCACAAATCCAAATCCACCCACAAATCCATCACCCACAAATCCACACACATCACCCACAAATCACAAATCATCCACAAATCCACACACATCACCCACAAATCCACAATTTCACCCACAAATCCACAATTTCACCCACAAATCCACACATCACCCACAAATCACACACACACATTCCACAACACACAAATCCACAATTCATCACCCACAAATCCACACATTCACCCACAAATCCACACATCACCCATCCACACAATTCCACACACCCACAAATCCACAACATCACCCACAAATCCACCAATCACCCACAAATCCACAATTTCACCCACAAATCCACACATCACCCACAATCCACAATTTCACCCACAAATCCACAATTTCACCCACAATCCACACACATCACCCACAAATCCACAATCACCCACAAATCCACCCACCACAAATTCCACACACCCACAAATCCACAATTCCACCCACCCACAAATCCACACACATCACCCACAAATCCACAATTTCACCCACAAATCCACAATTTCACCACAAATCCACACATCACCCACAAATCCACAATTTCACCCACAAATCCACACACATCACCCACAAATCACTCCACAAATCCACATCACCCACAAATCCACACACATCACCACCACAAATCCACAACACCATCACCCACAAATCCACAATTTCACCCACAAATCCACAAACCCACAAATCCACAATTTCACCCATCCACAATTTCACCCACAAATCCACACATCACACAAATCACAATTTCACCCACAAATCCACAATTTCACCACAAATCACAATCACCCACAAATCCACAATTTCACCCACAATCCAACATCCACACAAATCCACACCACCCACAAATCCACACACACACCACAAATCCACAAATCACACAAATCCACACACATCACCCACAATCCACAATTTCACCCACAAATCCACAAACACAAATCCACACACATCACCCACAAATCCACGCACAGACACCCACACCACAATTTCACCCACAAATCCACAATTTCACCCACAATTTCCACGCACATCACCCACAAATCCACAATTCACCTCCACAAAACCCACAAATCCACAACACCCACAAATCCACACACCCACAAATCCACAATTTCCACACACATCACCCACAAATCCACAATTTCACCACAAATCCACAATTTCACCCACAAATCCACACACCCACAAATCCACAACACACCCACAAATCCACACACATCATCCGCAAGAGCCAAGCAGCACCTAAGGCCTCGTGTGCCCGTTCCCCCAGTGTTCCCTCTGCTGACCGACCTCCGCTGGATGATGGCCGTCATGGGCGCGTGGGGCTGCGGCGTCGGGGCGAACATGGGCCTCTACAACCTGGTCATGATCAAAGTCATGGGAATCGACCGGCTGCCGGCGGTGTTCGGTTCCTGTTGCTTCATGGTGGCCATCGGCTTCATCCTCTTCGGCCCGCTCATCGGTGAGGGTCCGCGCCTCGCTCTCAGGGCCGCGGGTTTTAGCCTTTCTTGTATTAGTAGTAGTATTTAGTAGTAGTAGTAGTAGTAGTAGTATTCCAATTACCTCCGTCAAGTTGGTTATGTTTCTGGTAGCGCTGGTGAGTTGGTTTGTTTGCTGGTTCGCCGGATAACTAAAGAAAAATTAGGTGTGTCTTGGCACAACTTAGAAGCCATTAAAGTTTGGTGGTGATCCGGATCGTGTTCCGTATCCTGGAATTTTTAGAATGGTTGCAGCAGTTACCCCTATTGCCAAGGGGTAACTGATGCAATCATTTTTTAAAAATTCCAAGGCAATAGGCTTTTATTATCATTAGCATTGCGAGATGGGAACAACTTTTTGGTGCTTGTAGTATTATTATCCTATTGCCTTGGCGGAGGTATGCGCTCTCTGAATGCTTCTAGTTATTACCATTATTATTATTGTTATGACTGTCATTCTATTATTATCACTATTGTTGCTGTTTTTATTATAATTTTCATTATTATTATTATTATTATGTCTCCTGATCTTTTTAGCTATACTTGACAGCACAACTTATAAAAGCAACCCATCAAAGCTGATTTATTATTTCTGAAACAAGTATTGCTGAGAAAATAGGCACAGCCCATTGCAAAACCGCGTCGAAAATTGTACAGGCAATTTCACGTTCTCTCGCGAATGTCTAATCTAAGTCTTTCATGCTTTTCTTGTTTTCGTCTTCTTCTCCAGCTCTATCTTCTTACACTTTCATCATCGTCAGTTTTCTCGTCTGATTTTCGTCTTCCCTCTTTCTTTTTATAGTTTTTCTTACTCTTCCTCCGTTTCTCCCCATTTTCCTTCTTTTTTCTTCGTCCTCCTGTTGTTATTATTTTGACTTTTCTTCTTTTTTCTTGTCTCATACTTCTTCTCCCTCCTTTTTTCTCTTTTAGGTATTCGTTGTCTTCTGTAGTAAATTCTTTACTTCTGAATGCGTGTTAGTGCCTTTGGAAGTAAATATATTACTTTTGTGTTATCGTCATAATCATTATTATTATATTGTTTTTATTATTATTATCTCTATTGTTATTGTTATCATCATCATCATCATCATCTTCATCATCTTCATCATCACCATCATCATTATTAGTTACTATTACTATATTATCATCATTATCATTATCATCGTCACCAACATCATTATAGCTATTACTATCATTCAATTGTTATTAATGCCAATGGTATTATTACTATTATCACCATCATTATCATCGTCATTATCATCATCATCGTCACCAACATCATTATAGCTATTACTATCACTACTATTTTCTTTTTTCTTGTTTATTGTTGTTTACTTCAATAGTTTTGAATGCCTGTGATGGTGTTTCGTGGAATATTACCTATGTTATTCGTTCTAACGTTATAAAAAGATAGTATAGTACAGTTTTTTCACGGGTCCTTATTTGTATGCAGATAATGTAATACAGGTTCGTAAAAGTATGTATATCCCAGAATGTTAGAACGTTAATTTTCTGAAACTGTATGAGAATAGTGACAAATTTGCTGTTTTTTTCATTATTTTCCCTTCATTATTATTGATTTATTGTTTATTTTATTTTTTTTTTTTTCTACTTCTCAGACGTCTTGGTGTTAATGAAGATACTCTGAGATCTTTCAGTGGAGTATTGTTGTATCTGTGAATATGCTCGGTCTCTGCAAGCTCCTAGGCAGGTGATAAGATATAGTAAATATTCCTTTCGCATCTATTGTACGTTACTTAACACGGATTTCTCTTATCGCAAAATCTTGTGGCGACAAAATCTTGTTCCTTATCTTTGATACTGAGGTTACTATTATCAGCCCTTCTGTTCGTGTTTTTTTTTTTTTTTTTTTTTTGTCAAAAACATTTCAGCCAGTAATTGTCGTGTTTTGGTTGTCTACATCCACTTCTATAGGTCTAGTTGGGTGTTTCCATGTGCCTGATCTTCCAAATCTTAAGTAAATAGTTATCGGCTTGACTCTTTCTTTCCTCCACCTCACAGGACAGCGCCTTGCTTACTCTTGCTTCCTTCCAGGTGCAGTGAGACGCGCGACCAATGC